TCACCAGGCAGAGTCCGCTCGCTGCTCCTCTCCACTTCAAATATGATGAACATTAAAAATAAAATTCTGTAATTTATTTATCTAGCAGCACAATTTATAATATGATGTATAGCCTGAAATCTGTAATTTTCATACAGTTTGAAACATTTTTTTACAAAGAGCAAATCTTTCCCACTAAATTGGTCATGTGACCAATAAGGGTGTCCAGGGACTCCAGGATCGTCAAATTAATCGTTATCGGCTAAATACCACAATTAATGGTGATTAATTTTTTTGCCAATATTGCCCAAGCCTAACAAGTAGCCCATCGATTTAAAGCCCAGACTCTGCTCTTTCCAACAATATAAGTGTCACAGCTCTACGTGAAAAATTCACAGAACAAGCAGCCAAGGAATAGTGAAAAAGGCTAAATTCTGGAACCATAAACAGGAACGTCTTTCCTTTGTTTTTATGTCTTTAATTCACTTTGGAGTGATTTTTTCCACTTGGCTGAACCTGTACATCTCCTGTGTTTATGTTTGTACATGTAATATGCTAATTCTGTACTGTGGAGATCATTAAGAGTCGTTGTCAGGTGAAAAAATCTTTCGCTAACACTGTGTTGACAGTGAACCGGAAGTGCTGGGAGTGGCATCCAGTGCTGGTCCAGATGTCCGTGACATATAGACTAATACATCAAGCCTGTGAGCTGTTGACATCACCAGAGTTATGCGTTTCTCTTTTGTGATGTTTTTCCAGGCTTTCAAAGCCGCCTCTTTCAATTGTTGTTTGTTTTGGGGTTTAGTTCCTTTAGGCTTCAGCCAGTAAAATGCAGATCTAACGGGTTTAAATCTGGAGATTGATTTTGTCAATGGATCTTTGATCTTTTTTTAATTTGCAAATTAAATCTTTCTGTAGATTGTAGAACAGTCTTTAGGTTTTCCATCACTTTTGTAAAGATTCATCTTCGTCTCATCAGTCCAGAAAACTTTATCCTTGAAATTTTGAGTCCCATCTTTGTAATTTCAGTAGATCCACAATTAGCATTCTTGCTACTGAAGGGTTTGCACCTTCTGGTGGAGTCTTTTGACTTTTGTTTGTGTCATCAACTGCAGATGTTTTCCTCAGTCTGTTACTGAGTCCACCAGTGGTTTCTTTTTTAGGATGTTCCAAATGGTTGGGCTGGTTAAGACCAATGTTTGTGGATGACTGTGATTGATTACATCTCTTCCCTCAGCGTCACAATTGCTTTTGCACAATTTGTTTTTCACGCGTGGACCACTCTCTGGTTTTTGTTTTGCTTCAACCTTTACAGAATATAAATGCGGTCTGCACAGGCACACCTCAAATCTGAAACGGAGAGATTTATTGTTTGCAGTGTAATAAGACACACCTGGGCAGCAAAAAATATCACCTGTCTGTCACATCTTCCAATATTTCTGCTTACCCAAAAATATTCTGTTCTGTTACAAATAATGCAATCTTCTGAGTTGTGGATCTGATCTAGAATAAATACCTGAAAATAAAAGCTGTTGCTCTTTTTTCTCATTTTCATTTTATTAAGTAAAATCCAAATGTTTTCAGTGTACAGCAAAAGGAAATAAATTAGTCTCACTATTCCAGTACTTTAAGAGGGAAGCGTGTTTTCCATCAGGGTTCTGTAAAGTTTTGGAGCAGAAGTCCAAACCACAAGTCACTGCTCCTGAATGCATTTCCTTTTTCACACAGTTTCATTTAATGTAGCACTGATCCCTCTTTGTTGTGTGTCAGTAGAGGTCAAAGAGTACACGCTGCGAGCAGACACAAACTTGAAACGGTCAGTGTGTTGAAGGACAAGCCTGCAACACTGAATCTGATGATCTGATGCTGTTTAAAATAGCTGCTTCCATAATGCGGCTTCACTGTGTGTTAATACACTACGTTACAGAGATGCACTGTTTGGTTTGAGGGAATTACAAAAGTGGAACAAAAGCGGATTAAAGAGAACATCTTTTTCTGCCAATTTTTAGCAACCACTGAGTGAAAAAGCCTAGTAAAACATCTTGTGTACAGACCAGAAATGTCCTCTGTTGTTTATCTACATCAGTGTGTAACAGTTTTTATAATGACTGTGTTTTGGTCGAACTCAGCTAAACACCAAACATGAACAGTAGAAGGAGAGTGTTTCTCTGTTGCTGTTCTTACTGTAAATGTAAAACAAACCTGATAAACCCTGATGTTAAACAATACGGTTTCTTTAGCAGTAGGTCATACTTTTACACCAGTAACAAAAGTGTTTTATATAATTACATTAAAGTGGACATATCTTGCCTTTAAATCCTTCCCTTTCACATTTAAATCATTCAGCTGGGGTCTTTATAACGTGGAACTACAATGATTTGGTCTGAATTCCTCCTTATTCTAACTTTACCAGCCCAACTTCCACCACATTTCTGAGCAGCTGGATTTGATACTGTGGCTGTGTCCAAAACGACAGGCCGGGTCCTCCGGAGGACCCAGACTCCCTGGTCTCGGTGGG